AAATAAATAATATATACCTAAAAATATTATCCTAAAATAATATCTTAAAATACGTTAAAAAAGTATACTTCATAATGTTTATTTCCCTCGTCTTGTTGATCCATATTCTTCTTTTCCTCCTCCATCGCTTCCTTAAGAATTTAGGCAATAATGGCACAGGTAGAAATGGCAGAGATAAAAATGGCACAAATAAAAAAAGACACGAGTAAAAATGAAATGCACACGTTATCTATTTAGTAAGTTAAAAAAGTTCTACAGAAGGATGCTAAGGATATCATGAACCGAGCGTGTGAGCAACGATGAGATCTCAGAGAGGTTGCAAACAAGGAGGAAGCTTATACTTAATATCAGGAAGAGACAGCTGAAGTTACTGGGGCACATAATAAGGAAGGAGGGCCTGGAGAATCTGATACTCACGAGTCGAATAGAGGGAAAGGGAGACAAAGGAAAACAACGCATGATATACTGGGCGGACTTAAACAAGTGGTTGACTGAACGTGGTCTGGGGGAGGAAGCAGAGGGAAGGAACTTGTTGAGAGCTGCAAGGGATAGAGGGAGGTGGAGAGCCATGATCGCCTACGTCTCCTGAAAGGACATGGTACATAAAAAAGAAAGAAATTTTTTAAAAATTTCCTTTTAAAAGCAAAAAAAATAAACTAGATTCTTATGTTGTGAGCAAATCCACTTAATACCTGATCGAAGTCTTTCCTTCCTTCTGTCTAGTCACTGCATACATTTTTGAGTCTTCGTTATAAATAAATATATATATTTCTTTGTTTTCTGTCTTGGTGGTTCACTAAACTAAGTCCTTTGCTATCACTGCATTCACAACAGCCTATTCCTTTTGAATCATTCTTATCAGTTTTCAGATAGATGGTTTCTGATAACCAACAAGATGGTAAAATTTGTTGTTCAACACTCTATATGAGTCGTTGCCATTGATATCAATGGCGTGATTGACAGCGCCATGACACTGAACCTATTTCTAATCCAGAATTCAGCGCGATGTTTTCTAGTTGTGTGCTCTTGTTCAATAATTGAACCAGAATTCTCGCAATTAAACCACTGACGACAAAACCAATGACAACTGAAGCAGGAGTCAACTGTCGTCTAATTAGAGAGTTACTGGTTCTATATTTAGATATTTTTCTTTCGGGATTTACAGAATAGATAACGTTAGCATTTCATTCTTTTTCCCAAAATGTTTTAGCTTTGTGCCATTTTTACCTATTTCCCACTAGTGCCATTTCTACCTGTGCTATTTTTTCTGTGCTATTTTTTCCTGTGACATTTAACTTTGCATCCTTACTTACAACTTAACAAGGAATGAGGTCCTAATAAGCCCCCAGGCAGAGGACGTTTATTAGGCACAAAAGTAAAGATACTGAAATAAATTTAGTAGATATTACTTAGGATATTTGCACTTAACCGAGAATGTTTTTATAGCATTTTTTTGTTTTCTTTTATTCTGATTGCGAAATTTTCATCTTTGTCGGAAAAAGTAACACTTGTACAGCTGTTACACGCAATTATATTTTCTTTTTGGATTTTTACACTTAGTTGTCGGGGTTGAGACGGAAGCTAGATAATAGGATTTCTTGTCTGACAGAATTCTTCAAATGTTGTACGTGTGAAGGTAAAAAGACATTACTTGTTCACAAAACATTGGTGTACATAAAAAATAGTTCATCTATCTATCCAACCAAACATAAGTAAGGTCATGTGAACTCGAAAAATATAATTGAACTCGGACATTTGAACTCATAAAAATTATAATTGAACTCGGACATTTGAACAGGTAAAAATTATAATTGAACTCGGATATTTGAACTCATAAAAATTATAATTGAATTCGGATATTTGAACACGTAAAAATTATAATTGAATTGGGGTATCTGAACTTGTAAAAATTATAATGGAACACGTGTATTTGAACAGGTAAAAATTATAAATGAACTCGATCATTTGAACTCGTAAATAATATTTGTTGTATGTCATTTCTTTTCCTGATCAAACCAGTAACCTACCAAACTCCATCCGCAACATACTAGTAGAAAATGCTTATTACGCAATAGATACATTCACATGTAAGAAAAATTGATTTAGAATAATGGAAGCGTTAACAATAATAAAAAAAAGGTGTTGTAGCATACCTACGGACGATAATGGGTATGTCTCCATTCACAAAATATAGTAGTAAATACTGTATGTTGGTCCGCAGTCGGAGATTCGTCTCCAGCTGTGCTGGTCAAACTCTCTGCCTCCGAGAGAGACGATACCCAGACGAGGCTATTTTGAAGAGCACAGTCTCGTTATAAACAGTTATCCGAGTACGGTTTATATGGGGTCTACAGGAAATCCTTGGCCGAGCCTACGTGCTCGGATACCCTACATTAATTTCAGCCTTATGCCACATCTGACCGCGTGGGGCGGTTGAAAGATATACTGCAGTTGGAGATTCGTCTCCAGTTGTGTTGGTCAAACTCTCTGCTTCCGGGTAGAGAGGATCCCCAGACAAGGCTATGTCTCCAGACGAAACTCTGCCCTTCGACATAGCCTCGTCTCGGGAAACAGCTACCCAACCCCTTTTTATATGAAGTCTACGGGGAATTTTTGGCTGAGCATACGGACTCGGATACCCCACATTAAATTCGGCCTTGTGCCACATCTGACCGCGTGGGACGGTTAGTAAATTTCCTGCAGTTGGAGATTCATTGTGGAATTCACTTGACTCAATTCTAGCAGTTGGCTACTTCTACGAGCCCCTGACGAATCTTATATGTGTTGTTCTTGTCCTAAGTATTATCGTTCATTACCAACCTTCGTGTGGTTATTCTATTCAGTAACCTTCCCGGGGGTTACAACAATATATATATAACTGATTATTATTTAAAAAATATGTATTCATCACGACATAGAAATTACCATGTTTCGAAACCAAAACGGAAATCTTAAATTAAACTTAAAATTTAAAGTTTATGTTCCATTTTCAAGTGATATTGAATAACTTTCGAAAAAATGATTTACTCTTTTTATAAGCTAGATAGTATTATATAGTTTAAGTTGGTGGGTAATGGGATTACATTTCACGATTTCATATGACTCAGTCCCGGTCTGTCTATTTCTAAGTCAGAAGGCTGCGTTCGTTCATCCGAATTTGCTCATGTGTGTCAAACCCAATTCTTATTTGGTAAACTTTTTGCCATATTACCGTTGCTTTGCCTTATTACTGTTAATTTCCCTTTGCATATATTCTTTACTTGCATGGTATTCATTATCTTTTCTGTTCTTTTCTTTTTCGTGTAATTGTTTATTGAAAGCTTTGTCACTTCTGTTTTTTGAGTAGTTGTACCATTTATTTATTTATATTTAAGGATGGCCATTCAATCTATAAGTGGCCTTTAATTTTGACGCCAATGAAACAAAAGTATTCTTTATTAATCATCATAGAAAGTATTTTTTGTCTTCATTCAGTACAGCTGATGCTAATCACCAGGGAAGTAACTCGTCCTCATGATGTGCCATTCGTCGTTCTCGAGAGACCTTGAATCTGCGACCAAAGAGTTATGCCTCAGCTGCTGATGGCGGGGCAGCATCAGGTATGGCTGTACAGGCCTAGACGGGAGCGACATTCTCAAATGCAATGAATGCATGTAAAGTCCTAGCCCCCGGTGTGGTGTTTTTTTTTTTCTTTCTGTTGACCATGCTTCTCCTCGGTGGCAAACCATCGTTTCTCCTCTCATGGTTCCAGCCCTCGGTGTAAATCTCGTCTCCAGGTTGAGCGATCGTTGGCGATGTCTTCCCACGTTCATTTCCCTTGTTCGTGTGTGTATACATACATACATACATATATATATATATATATATATATATATATATATATATATATATATATATATATATATATAAAGAAAGAACAGTAAGATAAAAAATCCGGCTAGATATTTTTATTTTACAAAATAGTGCTCAATCGTTTAAATATGTTTTTTTTCACTACACATTTCCAACCATGTTTCAAAAAATAGAAGCTAAAAACCACGAATTTAATTTGCAATTAAATTAAAGCCATTTCATCTTCAAGCGAATTTTTCTTGAAGATGAAATGGAACGTTTGGTTGGAACAGTAAATCATTTAATTATAACATATATATATATATATATATATATATATATATATATGTGTGTGTGTGTGTGTGTGTGTGTGTAAGATGCATAATCATCGTACACATTTGTGCATGCATTGCGCGTTTTCATAATCATTTACATGACAAAGAAATTAACTTAGGAAGTTAGGGATATGCGGCTATTTGACAAGGCCTAGCAGGTGCAAGCAGAAAAAAACAATACATACATTAGCCGGAGACATAAAACTCTTGATTACAAGATTTAATCATCTATCAACCATCTCACCTTAGTCTTTGGTTCATTTCACACACATAAAAATATGCAAAACCCCTACCTAAACACAGAATCACTAATACATACACAGACACACACACACACACGTGTGTGTGTGTGTGTGTGTGTGTGTGTGTGTGTGTGTGTGTGTGTGTGTCTGTGTGTCTATACAGAAGAGTTTTAACCGTTTCCAAGTATGCTAACCTTTAGACATTATCACCGGCACACCTGTCCGCCTCCACAGAGGCTCGGCCACTTAGCATACCGTAAAAGCTTGATGCGACACTTAAACACACACGCGCGAGCGCGCACGCACACACACACACACACACATATATATATATATATATATATATATATATATATATATATAAAAAGGTTTCAATAATCATCATACGTCTGTTATATTTTTGTGAAAGATAATTATGTAGCGTTCTTTGTGTGTGTGTTCTTTTTTTTTTACAATAAAGTGTTAAAGTGGTCATTTTAAAAATATCGCCCGAGGTGACCGCCGGGTCGAAACAGTGGTCGCGTAATTGACCTCCTGATCTTTAAACAATGCATATATATATATATACACACACACACGCAGACAGACAGACAGACAGACAGATAGATAGATAGATAGATAGATAGATAGATAGATAGATATGAACAGACTGAGATAGATAGATCGATAGACAGACAGACTGATCTTCTGAAGCGTATGCGATCAATGCAGGCGTCTGCAAGGTTCCTTCTCTCCTGCTACCATTTTTCTTCTTTTTTTAACGATCTAAGAACTCTCTCAGATCATTAGTAAACAAATATATGCGCGTATGCTCTTGTGTAGATTTTGGTGGTTTGGTTTGGAAGACTGCAGTTAGGTGTGCTTGACGCCGTATCTATTTGAGTAGCTATAATAGGACATACGGTGATAGCGAGTTTATGAATTGTGACATTACATTGAAGATAACTAGTTTGGTCACGCCAAATATTTTCTGGGGTTTGCGTTATCAGCGCTAAAACGTTTATTGACATGAATGTTTTAAAAGCCAATGATCCGATGTGAATATCTTAAAACTGGAAGATGAGAGCAACGAGGACCTTTTCACGACGTCCCACTTCTTACTGATGAGCGTCAGGGTCAATGCCATCACCTAGGTATGAACAATTACTATGAAAGTATTTATAGAAAAGCCACCTGGAAGGTACGTTATGGCGGTGGGAAAGTGACTAAAGCCGATATGCCAGCTCAGGACTAATAACATTGCAAATTATTTTTTTTTTGATTTTATAAAGAATCTCTAAATATATAGCAGGAGAACCAGACCAGATGTGGCAGTAGTATTCAAAACAAGGACTTATAAATATATAAGATAGATTATGGCGAGAAAAATTGTCTAGCACAACATAGTGAACCCACTTTCCTAACAAAAGATCTAGAAGTGATTCAATATTATCTTTCCCCTTCATGTCAGCAGAAAACGTTAGTGCATGAGTGACTGTCATGGAGGTTAGTATCAGCCATACTGATGGAAGGCAAAAATCCTTCTCTATGACGATTAAAAGAGAACAGTTTCGTTATTGAGGTGCTAAAAATGACAAGCAACTTTTTGGCCAGTTAAAAATATGTTATGGGATCTTACCCATAATAATAATAATGGACTATTCCATACTCAGGAGTAAGTCAGTAGTTCAAGTCGAGTCAAGAATCGAGTCGGAGGCAGCCCGAAACAGAGTCGTGTTCAGACAATTACTGCAAGACATTGGAATAGTGAGACTGGTCGAGACTACATTGTCCTCTCTATTAAACCTGATTGTTCATACTAACCCTTCTACTTCTCTCTCTCTCTCTCTCTCTATATATATATATATATATATATATATATATATTCCTGTTTGTAATATATCTGTGTTATTCCATACCTGTGTGCGAGCTCTTCTTTATTGGTTCTACCTTGGACTATCACCGTGGTACAAGGAACCGGAACATAACAAAATAGATTCAAAGTCATTTTTTCACAGTTTCCAATTTAACCTTATTTTATCGATCATATCTCGATATTAAGACGGAGGTAAATAGTTCTGTTATCAGCAGAGATACCGAGTTGAGAATTGATGACATCAATGAGACCGTTGACGAAAATTAGGACCAACGTAGGTTCAAGGATAGATCCCTAAATAACGACTGCATTAATGAAAATAGATCTAGAAGAGTGGCCATTTAAGACAACTTTCAATTGACATGAAGTCGATTCTGAGACCACATGGAGCAGTCTTTGAGTTTGAGTAACACGTATGCATTTTAGAAAATATAATGATATCTAAATATTTTAATTAGTTCCAAAACCAAACCATTAATCTAAGAACTCGTCATATACTTAAACAGACTTATCAGATTTAGATTCTCATATGGATAGGATTCATTGCGTCAAACTAGTCCAGAAATGTCTAGACTATCACCTATTTATGTTTAAACATTCTTTTTATAGATACAAATATTTAAGTAAATGTATTAAACAACATTTACCGACCTGAATGTCCGAGAAATTTTCATAGTAAGAAGATAATTCCCCCCTCTCCAACACACACAAATAATCAAACACAAATAAAAATAAATAGATCCATTTTTTAAAAAGTAAACCAATTTGTCTGATGATCGCAAAATCGTGAAACCCAGAGTTAAAAACTAATATCCATACAACTGAATATATATATATGTATGTGTGTGTGTGTGTCCATGCTGGCTGCGAATAGACCTCTGAAGTGTATTGTACTGACTAATTCCTTCAATCATCCCCTTTTTTGACGTTGACAGATTCGACGTGGAAGATGTCTGTGAGGACCGTTCCCATCAGTTGGCAAACTGGTTCTACGCAAGAAGCCAAACGAATGAGCCACTGGATCAGCTTTTGAACCCGACGTACAGAACATCTTGTTTTCGTGGCCCCATGCCTTTTCTCTCATCGAATTAACTAATCAACAAACTTTGAGGTTAAATCATCATTGAGCCCCGACGAAAAAAAAAACAAAACAAAAAAAAAACAAACACATATATGTGTCTACGTATGTATATGAAAGTCAGTCGAGATGCAAGCTCCAATGTATTTTTCCATTTGTCATATATATATATATATATATATATATATATATATATATATATGTTAGACGGAAGGCTGATCATTTTAAAAATTTTCAGTTATCTGTTTTGGATAAGACTTGTGTTTTTATGTCCATCGTATTTGTCATATTGAACTGAATTGTATTTTAATGAATATTGTCTTGAAAAAGGTTTATTAAACCGAAACGTCAGACGTCGACATTTCATTCATTTTAAACAACATTTAAGGATTTTTGTTTGTTTTTTTCAAAATTTTTCTTCATATATATATATATATATATATATATATATATATATATATGTAGATATGTAGACGAATTAATAAACAAAAATGTAATTATTTATTGTGAATACGAAATAACGTTTGAATGTCGGATTAAAATTAATTAATTCTTTAGAAATACACACACACACACACACATATATATATATATATATATATATATATATATATATTCATACACGTTTCATTAAATAATATAGACAAGTGTTGTCTATTTATTTTATATAAATTTTTTCGTAACGTCTGATAAGTTTAATAACATTATCGTTGAACGAAGAAAGAAATTCACAATATTGATCCATATTTTTTAATACAATCTAAGCTTTCGGCTTACATAAGCCATTATCAAAGATGCCAATTACAATTTTTTTTTTTTTTAACATACAACGTGTGTTAGCACGTGCGATACCCTGTCTTCATCAGCCGCCAACCAGGAGTGATCTCACGGTTTCGGTGGCTATGGCGGGGACCGCTACCCCAGGCGCCACCAGCAGGATTTGCCACCAGGCAGGGTATGAAAAAAAAAGAACTAATTGATCGTTCCTCTTTGTAAATTCTTAATGAAATAAATAAAACGATTGTTTCTCTTTGCAGCTTTTGTCCGTAATGAAAGTCCCTGAATGCGTTTGCCGTTATTGACGCGTTCGTAAAAATCGTTATAAACGACTACGCAAATATTTCACTTGCGCATGTTAGGTCGTGATGATGCGCGCATAATATTTCAGTAATTTTTGTTCTGATCGTAACTTTCCTTTCTGGATTTGTCGTCGATTTGGTCGTTTTTCCTCTTTTTTTCCATTACTGGTTCAAATCACTCAAAGCAAACGTCGTATATTATTCTACAAAAGGAACTGATCTGTTTCCCTATGTGACCCTTGAGATTGTTATTAAGGATAAAAGAAAGCTCTTTGTCAAGATTTGTCCAAACAGTCTTCTGGTTACCTTTGGGCCACTGTATTCTTGGTTTACTTAGGATTTCTCCAGGGTGCTGTCGCTCAACGATGGAATCCTGAACGCTGTGGTTGTATTCCAGATTCATAATCCCATCAGTCGATTTACATTCTCCGATATTAAGCAATATACGGACAAGACAGTGCTGACAGTCTGTCAATGTTTATACATGGATGATTTCTAAGCAACGATAAACACGTGCATGTAAGACGCTAGAAGCGAAAATCGCACCGCATTTCATGACGTCACACATGACCACACGAAAGTGAATTGGAGAAGTATGAAATATGGAAAGCCAATGGTATAAACCAATGGCTTCTGTTACCAAGTATAGACAGTTAAGAATATTAAGAATTGATTTTGTTTAGGTTGGGTTTCAACTGTTTCATGTATGATGCTTCAAGGATTATTAGTTTTTGTCTATTGTTTTCATGTCGAAGCATAATATATATATATATTATATGACAAAAATAAATTATATCATTAACTCTTGTTACCGAAGGGATTTCGCCATTAATCACATTAATATTTCTAATTAATTAATTCTTTGTATAATTACTTCTTTATGACATCATATATATACTGCACACTGAAGTTATTCCAATATTCGTTTGAAGTTGAAACGGAACTAATACTTTTAATTTAACATTTTTAGCTTCCATTTTTGAAACATGGTTATTACTGTGTTGCGAAAAAACATATTTCCAATCAGTTAATTTATAATATATATATATATATATATATATATATATATATATATATATATATATATAGCCACACTGATGAGTTGTGACACAGACAAACAGTCTGTCTGTGGATATATATATATATATATATATATATATATATATATATATATATTCAAATAAAATAAGGAAAAAAAAATAGAGTAAAAAATCCATTTCGTAGCATTATAATTTTGTATAATAAAAATATTATACTATATGTATTATGAAAATTAGTTACTATATGTTAATTTTTTTATACGTGCATTGAGTACTTTTTGATACTACTGTTTCCTGGTCCAATTCTACTCTGAGCATTAACTTTTTTTATTATGTATATATATATATATATATATATATATATATATATATGTGTGTGTGTGTGTGTGTGTGTGTGTGTGTGTGTGTGTGTGTGTTTTAAAATAGGATACAGAATTACGACAAAGTTTTAAGAAATTTGAAAATGAAAACTTTTTCATTGAAAATAGATTTGATAAAGCGTTTTGCCATTTAAGTCGTCTTCAGATCCAATAAAGAAAGAAAGAATTGTACGTATGTGTATTTGTGTGTGCATAAATAATGAATCATATTATTTTTCCCTAAGCTGGCGTTTCTCGTGATTAAAGAAGTAAAAA